CCAGTGCAGAGTAAGACTCTTTCCCACCTCTGATCTCAGCCACTCATCTCCCCTCCCCTCCCTCTAGTCTCCTTCTTGGGCCTAAAGGACTCGAGTTTTTGTTTTTTTTTTTTTTTCAGAGAGTTATTATTTTATTTCTTGTTCTTCATCCTTTCCCAAATGGTTTTTTTTTTATTATTAATGTTATGATAGATTACAACCTTGTGAGATTTCAGTTGTACATTTTTGTTAGTCATGTTGTGGGTACACCACTTCCCCCTCTGTGCCCTCCCCCCCCCCCCCTTTTCCCTGGTAACCACCGATCAGATCTCCTTATCAATATGCTAATTTCCACCTATGAGTGGAGTCATATAGAGTTCGTCTTTCTCTGACTGGCTTATTTCGTTTAACATAATACCCTCGAGGTCCATCCACGTTGTTGTGAATGGGCCGATTTTGTCTTTTTTTATGGCTGAGTAGTATTCCATTGTGTATATATACCACATCTTCTTTATCCAATCATCAGTTTCTGGGCATGTAGGCTGGTTCCACGTCTTGGCTATTGTAAATAATGCTGCGATGAACATAGGGGTGCAACGGACTCTTGAGATTTCTGATATCAGGTTCTTAGGATAGATACCCAGTAATGGGATGGCTGGGTCATAGGGTATTTCTATTTTTAACTTTTTGAGAAATCTCCATACTGTTTTCCATAGTGGCTGTATCAGTTTGCATTCCCACCAACAGTGTATGAGGGTTCCTCTTTCTCCACAACCTCTCCAACATTTGTCGCTCTTGGTTTTGGATGTTTTTGCCAATCTAACGGGTGTAAGGTGATATCTTAGTGTAGTTTTGATTTGCATTTCCCTGATGATTAGCGATGATGAACATCTTTTCATGTGTCTATTGGCCATACTCATATCTTCTTTTGAGAAATGTCTGTTCATGTCCTCTGCCCATTTTTTGATCGGGTTGTTTGTTTTTTTGTTGTTAAGCAGTGTGAGTTCTTTGTATATTATGGAGATTAACCCTTTGTCGGATAAGTGGCTTGTAAATATTTTTTCCCAATTAGTGAGCTGTTTTTTTTTGTTTCAATCCTGTTTTCCCTTGCCTTGAAGAAGCTCTTTAGTCTGATGAAGTCCCATTTGTTTATTCTTTCTATTGTTTCCCTCAACTGAGGAGTTACAGTGTCCGAAAAGATTCTTTTGAAACTGATGTCAAAGAGTGTACTGCCTATATTCTCTTCCAAAAGACTTATTGTCTCAGGCCTAATCTTTAGGTCTTTGATCCATTTTGAGTTTATTTTGGTGTGTGGTGAAAAAGAATGGTCAATTTTCAATCTTTTGCATGTAGCTGTCCAGTTTTCCCAGCACCATTTGTTGAAGAGACTTTCTTTTCTCCATTGTAGGCCCTCTGCTCCTTTGTCGAAGATTAGCTGTCCATAGATGTGTGGTTTTATCTCTGGGCTTTCAATTCTGTTCCATTGATCTGTGGACCTGTTTTTGTACCAGTACCATGCTGTTTTGATCACTGTAGCTTTGTAGTATGTTTTGAAATCGGGGATTGTGATTCCGCCGGCTTTGTTTTTCTTGCTCAGGATTGCTTTAGCAATTCGCGGTCTTTTGTTGCCCCATATGAATTTTAGGATTGTTTGTTCAATTTCTGTGAAGAATGTTCTTGGGATTCTGATTGGGATAGCATTGAATCTGTATATTGCTTTAGGTAGTATGGACATTTTAACTATGTTTATTCTTCCAATCCATGTGCAAGGAATGTCTTTAGGACTCGAGTTTTAAGATGACATTCATTCACCAATATTTATTGACACCCTATTCTTTGCCAGGAGCTGTGCTAGGCACTGAAGATGTAATAACCTAAGATGCAACCTCCATCCTCTCAAAGCCTATTGTCTAAAAGACACAAGAAAGGTCTTAAGGTTTGATTCACAAACATAAGGCAAAATTAGGTCTCAAAGTAAATGAGGAAGATTTTCAATCCCAAAATATCCACATTCTCTTTAATATATCTTAAGTGCTGCAAGGACATTAAAGTCAACATTAACATGTTGTTGAGCCATGTAAACACTTTTTTTTTTTGAGGAAGATTAGCCCTGAGCTAACAGCTGCTGCCAATCCTCCTCATTTTGCTGAGGAAGACTGGCCCTGAGCTAACATCCATGCCCATCTTCCTCTACTTTATATGTGGGACGCCTACCACAGCATGGCTTGCCAAGCAGTGCCATGTCCGCACCCGGGATCGGAACCAGTGAACCCTGGGCCGCAAAAGCAGAACATGTGAACTTAACCACTGCACCACCAGGCCGGCCCACAAACAAGCATTTTGAAGCAATTTTCTATTCCGAGTATGAAAACTTCCTAAAATAGCTTGGTGTTCTTCAGTAGTCTAGCCCTGTTCAACCAAAAATAATAATAAATAAAAAGGAAATGTCTTCAGCTACTTTAGGAAATCTATGTAAGAAAAAAACTAATGAATATGTTGCAAGATGTAATGTACAGCATGGTGACTATAGCTAATAATACTGTATTGCATATTTGAAAGTAGCTAGGAGAGTGGATCTTAAAAGTCCTCATCACAAGAAAAAAGTTTTGTAACTATGTATGGTGATGGACATTAACTGGACCATTGTGGTGAACATTTTGCAATATATAAAAATATCAGGGACCAGCCTAGTTTGCAGACTCCACTTCGGTGGCCCAGGGTCTGCAGGTTCAGATCCCAGGTGCAGACCTAGCACCACTCATTCAGCCATGCTGTGGTGGCATCCCACATAAAATAGAGAAAGATTGGCATAGATGTTAGCTCAGGGCCAATCTTCCTCACATACACACACAAAAATATCAAAGCATTATGTTGTACACCTGAAACTAACAGAATGTGACATGTCAATTAGACCTCAATAAGAAAATAATAACTTTTTTAAAAGCAAAAAACCTAAAATTCAGTTTCAGGTGTGCATTTGGATTTTGTACCAAGGCAATGTATTACCTACTCAAACAATACATATATATCTTTTTAAATTAGGGTGCAGATTGTTTAAATGTTCGATTGAAAGTAGGTAGAGAGAGTAGGGCCCTGTCTCCAGGATGAAGACAGGCAGCCATAGTGTGGAGGAATGGACCCTTCGATAGAAGGCAGGAGTCCCTGAATTCTAATACCAGATCCTCCCTAACTAGTGTGGAACTTGGAGCCAGTGATTTCTCCATCCAGCTTCAGTTAAATCATCTGCCATATGAGGATGACCACATCTTCCCTACCTCACCATTAGGCTGTCAAATGAAAGGAAGCCCTTGCCTTTCTTCTCGAACTTCTACTCATCCCTGGAGCACTAATTCAAACCCCACCTCCTCCAAGAAGTCTTCATACACTTTCCTGACCAGATGGAGTTAGTGGTTCCATCTTTTGGGCTTCAAGAGAACCTTTCTAGCATTGTACCACTTTCCTTGCATTGTTCTACTTCTTTCAGTTTTTCCCAGAGCCAGGAAGTTGTCTTAAACAGTCTTTGAAGCTCCCAAGGGACTAGCAGTTCACATTAGGAGTTCAATAAACACTTGCTTAATGAACAGTGAATGAATGGGACATGTTTCCTTGTCTGCATTTGTACACACTTCTTAGATGTGATAAATACATGAAACGCAATAGGATATATTGGAGTACAAGAAGCAGCCATTTCGTTTAAAACTAAAATTTAAAAAAACAAACTAGTTGGGCCTGATGTGGCCTGTTGAGCATGCACTGTACATCAGCTTTAAACATTTACCATGTCCCAAAGACAAGAATGGTGCCGAGAGATAAGGATATAACTTCCCGCCATATTGGCCTTTCTTTAAGGATAAGCATCACTTCCTAGAAACTAAGGATTAATTACTGACCTGGTGTGCTCACCTCGTACCACTCACCCGCTGACCACCGACCTGCTGTGCTAGCAAAGCATCTCCTTACAGTAGTAAAAGAGCTATTCCTGTCATATGTGACGACTGCTCTTTGTTCCAGGATGTATATAACCAGTTCGTACACCCCACTTCTTAGAGTGCTTCCTTCCTTGGGGAAGGAAGACCCTGGGCTATAGTCCTCAAGCCTGGCTCAGAATCAACTTACCCCAGTTTTGGTTTATAGATTGATTATGGATTATTTGCATCGACACATGATTCTGCAAAGAATGTAAGACATGAATGGATGCAAAATCATAAACAATACAAATACTATGGATTTTTTCTTTCAAAAACTTTCAATTCCGTTGGACTATCTTTTCAATACAAGAAAATGTTTTTTAACAACTGGCGGGGGGTTGGTATGAAACAGCGCTCCCTACAGTCTCCACGCCTTGTTTTACTCTTTAGAAAGTACGTGGCTCTTTAAAATGCTCAACAGATGTTCGCTAAAGAATGAGTTATCTTTTTGAAGCTTTAAACAACGCACGACAAACTCAAGCCTTCACGGGCTCTTCCCAAGACTGGATGAAAACATTTCAGTAGGATTCAGACGAGGAAAATGAGCAAAAGTGAGCAGCAAAAGACACTCCTGTGTCCTTACAGGCAGGTTAGTCCGGCTTTTTTCAAAAATTTCCTTCGGAAAAACAGCAAACTGCTAACGGCGGCGATCTGCTGAGATGGAGACCGGGGGTAACTTTCGGGGTTCCCTCGCTCCCTTCTCTCCGCTTCTCTCTGCCGTCCGAACGGCCCGCGAGCCCTGCAGCCACAGCGGAGATTCGTTCCGCGGCCCGGACCCTTCCGTGCGCCAGCCGAGGCGGGCCCCGCGTCAGTCTCCAGCCTCGTCCGGCAGGAGTTCGGAGAAAGTTCGCGGGCAGCCTTGATCGCGGCGGTGGGACATTTTAGCCGGTGGAACCCTGAATCTCCGCCTGCCCGCTCCGCCACGCGGCCACAGACACCGCCCTGGACCGTTGGGCCTCCAGGACCTGAGAGCCCGGAACCCGAAACCCGGGGCGTGGGCGCAGCGGAGCATAATAGCTACGGTACCGCCCCGCCGCCCGGCTCGGAGGAGAGGCGGAAGTCGAGGGCGCTGACGCCGCTGCGGGAACTCCTCTTCGAAGGCACCTTCCTGTCCGCGACTCCGCCCCCGCCCAAGGGGCTCGGCTCGGGAATTCAAGATGGAGTCGCTGAGTCGAGCTGGGCAGGAGATGAGCCTAGCGGCCCTCAAGCAACACGACCCCTACATCACCAGCATCGCAGACCTCACGGGCCAGGTCGCTCTGTACACCTTCTGCCCCAAGGCCAACCAGTGGGTGAGTACGGCCGGGCCGCTGAGGTCGCCCGCCCGGCAGCCGCCTCTTAAAGGGGCCGCGCGGAGCGCCCTGGGTAGGGGGCGATGCGGGAGGCCAGGGACTGGAGAAGAGCCTAGCGGACGCCAGAGCGGTGTCGGGGGCGCCCGGGGTTGGGAGAGAGGAGCGAGAGAAGTAGGCCCACCACAGAGGGAAAAGCCGATAGAGGGGAGGATTGGAGGAGAATCTGTCGCTTGAGGTCGGGTCCAGGGACGTGGGCGACCTGCCTTCTTTGCGGGTGTGTTGAAGAATACGAGACGGGTGGGGTCAGAAAGATGCCTGAAAGATTCTGTTTAAAGCTTCGAGGGTTATTAGATAAATTACATATGCATAAAATATAAAGTAAACGCCCCACCCCTCCCCGCAGCAGACAAATAAGAGCCCCCTTCGCAGAGGTCATTTGGATTTAAAGCTTGAAATCCAATTAGTTTCAATTCTTGGGAAAGGGGGGAAGATCAGTCCAGCTTTTATCAGACTACACTGTATTTCCAGAGTTTTGGAGAACATTTCAAGGCACTTAGGAAAAGGGCTTCATGTTAATTGGATTCCTTTGAACTCTGGAAAAGAGACCCTGTAAATGTCTCGTTTCAGCTATGCTGCTGGTGATGTCACGTCCCAATGCTTCCATCAGACTAAGTACTTTTGGGCTTTTTTGCACGGAAGGGGGTCCGAAAAGTTACAGTCAGTCTGTTCACTGACTTGTTAACCCCTGTTTGAAGCTTCTTTCGCTGTTTAGATAACATAATATCCCGTTTTCTGGTAATCGACCCTTAGTGAACTCATTCAGCTGTAAGCTTTACACTTAGAAAATAATCCGTAAATGTTTGGATTGAATTCGTAAATGACTGATGTTCACATTTCAGTAAGAAATGAAATCCTTATACTAACAAAACTCTGAAAGATTGTTATTGTGATATGTCCTTTACAATATAATAGAGATACGTAGGTTATATTTAATCAGTAATTTTGTGAAAATCATTTGGCATTTATAAACAGATAATTCAGATGAAGAGAGTTTTCAAAATCATCTTGCTTTATCTTCTTTCCTTCACCTCATGGAAGAGGAGATCTGGGAAGCCACAAAGAACGAAATTACAGGAGTTTTTTCACTGTAGCTGTTTTAGACCTTGCCTTAGTTTGAATTGTTCATCATGTTTCTTTTCTTGGTCTACCTATAAATTTGTGAAATACGGATTGCAGACAAATGGTGAAGACTTAGGGGTGGGGATTTATTACTAACAAGCTTTTATTTTTAGTTTTTCAGAGACTTTCAGTATTTTGGAATTTTAATTGTGGAATTCTATTTTAAATATGAAATACAAAGTATAATAACCTGAATTGAAAAATAAGCTGCCATTCTTCATTTGGATCATGGCACATACAGCATAACCAAAATCTTTTCTTTCTTTGTTATTTTACAGTGAATTGTAATTTTCCACAGTTTTGTTTGGGCAAGTTTGCTTTCACTGTGAGACAGCTGATTACCAATTTCTTATACTAATAATATTTGAAAGGCAAGAAAAAGCCTCTGAATCCTTAGGAAGGAAAAGTTTCTTGATGATATTTAAGCTAGGGCAATACTCCTGGAAGAAATCAAGATGATAAATATTTTTTAAAAGTTTTTATCCCAACAAATTCAATTTGATATGACTAACATTTAAAGTTTTCTGACAGCTTGTTGATCCCATTAAAATATTTAGGTCCTGTCCAGGCAGTGAACTGCAGACTAATATGATTATTTGGTTTTTTAAAACATTGTAATTGTTTAAAACCTAAATACACTCTTATCACAGCAAATGAAAGATGATATGAGTTGTACTTTCTTAATCAAAACATTTCACTTTAAGCTAAAAAGAATTTTTTTATTTATTTGTAAGACCTACAGTAATTACATTAAGACAGAGTATTGTCTCAGTATTCATGATTCTTCAATAAAATTCTAAAAGTAAACTAATTGTGTTTGACAGTATTTCTTAACTAACCACAAAATTTGCTGCTCATGAAAATATACCAGAATCCCCCAATGATGAAACAAAGTGTCCTGTAAGATAAAATTTCCTTTTCTTTTTTCTACTAACCTTGATAAACTTTAAAAATGAAGAAATTGTTGTACACAGGACCTTGGCTTTACAACTAAGCAATCTGGGTAAAACATTTTAGCTTTAAAAAGTGAAAGCTAGGGGTGTCCTGGTGCTGTAGCGGTTTAGTTCACACGCGCGCAGGCAGCCTGGGGTCCGCTAGTTTGGATCCTGGGCGCAGACCTGCGCACTGCTTATCAAGCCATGCTGTGGCAGGCGTCCCACATGTAAAGTAGAGGAAGTTGGGCACGGATGTTAGCCCAGGGCCAATCTTCCTCAACTAAAAGAGGAGAATTGGCAGCGGATGTTAACTCAGGGCTAGTCTTCCTCAAAACAAAAAAGTGAAAGCTAATTCCAGGATTTTCTCCTTAAAATCTAAAAAAGGAAAAGAAGAATGCTGGAGATACAGGCAGGTTGCTGGATTGAACACTGCATATATATTAATAGGCATCAGTAGCATAGAAAGGATACAAAAGAAACTGGTAACAGCAGTTTGTGGAGTGAGACTGACTTGACCTGTTCAAAAGTGGTTAATTTTAAAATAAATGTCAGTCTTAAATATGAAGCATTTCTTCTCCATTGGGACTATTTGGGGTTAGATTATGGAGAAGAAACTAATTGATTCTTTGTTATAGGAGAAGACTGATATAGAAGGGACCTTATTTGTATATCGAAGGTAAGTTTTTTTTTAAATGATACGTATTTTTTAATCTAAGTGTGAGCAATGTCATATGAAGTGGTTCAACCCTGTTGTACATTTGTCATTAGAACTTTCCTGCTTGACCCTTCAAGTATGCATCCATCTCTAGCTGTGAGATCCTAAGTTAGGTCCCTTCTTTGAGCCTTCCTAGGATTCAGAATAAACAGAACTAGATGTTATTTAGGAACTTAGCAAAATGTCTCAAAATAGAAAATATTTTCTAGTAATGAATGAGTCTGAAACAGATTCCTTTCTCCTTTGCCCCATGTTAAAAAATAGAGAGAGAGAGAGAGAGTTGAGAAAAATATGTGGACTAGCTCTGTGCATTAATGTAGTTGAAAGGTCCCACTGTTCTGTGGTTACTGAATGGGAGGTTATCTTCTACGACTCCGGTTCTCTCCCCTTTTCCATCTACCCCGAAAGTTCTGGATTGTGTATAGTGTTTTTGTAATGTGTATTTTTAGTTTGAGAGTCCTTTAGAAAGCCTGGATTATTCATAATTGCACATTTTTATTTTCAACTTTTCACAGAATTAATTATTATCTTAAAATGTGATTGGTTTGCAAATTGCAACTTTTGTTTTGTCAGGCAACTTTTGTGGCCTGAGGGCAACTGACAGGTTGTGATAAATCGGGGAGTGCCCTGTTTCCCTGGATCACTCTTAGGCCTGGCCCTCACTGGGACAGGTTCCTCCCCTTGATTTCTAAAGCTCAGGGACTCAGCAAGAGTTATCACTGACTTCTGGTTCTTTTCCTTTCCTTTTTTTTTTTTTTTTTTGGTATTGTGAGTTATCTTTTAATGATTGCCTTTCCCCATTGATGGTAATTAACAAGAATCTGTCAAATACTCTTCTGAATTTTGGTGTACAGCTTTGAGATCTTGTCTAAACACACTGATCTTTTTCTTCCTTTAAATGTAAGTGCTTTGATATTATACACCAAGCTCTTTATTCTTTGAAACTTTATTCCCTGTTATTCATCTTTCTCCTTTTAAAAGAAAGAGAGAGACCTTTACCCTTCACCTACTTCATTATTCTTCCTTATCAATGTAAATCTCTAGAAACTTCAATGTTGTTAGAACCTTGGTATCTATAATTTTGGAAAGTACTTTTTTGGCCTATTGTTACAGTATAGTATAGATCCACTAATTGTAGAAAATGTGAAATTTAGTATATAGTGAGTGACTTGATTTAATAAAATTCATGGAGGTGTTGAGTCTAATAAAAGGACACCAAAGAAATTCTATTTGGGAAATGTCAGAAGATTTTATGTACCTTGGATAAAGGTATACTTGGGTGTCAGAATATCACTTTGCAGAGCCCAGAATATCACTTTGCACAGTGTAGAAGCCTGGATTTGGAGTCAGAAAACCTAAAGCTGAATCCTGGTTACGTTATTTGTTTGACTTTGAGTGTAGGCTTTAATCATTCTGAGCTTGTTTCCTAATGTATAGAATAGGATTCTGAAATCTTTCCCATGTACACAGAGAAACTAATGAGAAACTATGAAGTGTTAATGCATGTGAGGAGTGTCTAAAGGGTCGTGTACTGAATCGCCCTGAAGTGGGAACCAAGGATGTTTCTTATTATAGGATTTGAGGCATTTTCTATCTAACTCACGAGAACTATGGAAACCCTATTTGGTGTAAGAAAAATCATTACTGAAATGGCGGGCAGTCATTATTATAACCAGTCCTGTACCATATTTAAATAAATGATATTTTCATTGAGCAAATGTTTATTAAACATCTACTGTGTGTCTCTCTTGGTATACATCTGAAAAAATAAGACAAAAACCCTATTTGCGTGCAGCTTACTTTCTAGTGGAGAAAGACGGTAAATATAAAAAATGATAAGTAAATGATATGGAAAAAGAGGAGGGTTAGAGGTATTGAGCTTGGGAGCATTTAAAAGGGTAGTTCTCAGTTAGGCCTCATTGAGAAAGTGACAAGTGAGCAAAGGCTTGCCGGAGATGAGATAACTGTAGACGCTGGGCAAGTGGTCTGGGCAGACGCCTTTACATGGAAGTCTACGTGTAGGGAGAGTGACAAGGAACTCAGTGTGGCTGGAGCAGAAGGAGAAGGAAGAGGCATAGGAGACGAAGTCAAAGGGGGCATAACCCCATCAGCTAAGGCCTTGGTGGCCTTAGTAAGAACTTTGGCCTTTCCTCTGAGGGACTGAGTCCTTGGAAGCTTCTGAGAGGAGGAGGGGTACGATCTGACTTAAATTGTTTGTTTACAATTTTGAGTGCTCCAATTTTAAGTTTTTTGTTTATAACTTTTTAGTATTGTGTAATGCAATAATGTATTCATTCTTTGAAATGGTAGTAAAAAAGTAGATAACATTTCCGCAAATTAAACAGTGACTACAGATTTTTTTCTTATATTAAATCTAAGGTCAGCTTCACCTTACCATGGTTTTACCATTGTGAATCGACTGAATATGCACAATCTAGTTGAACCAGTGAATAAAGATTTGGAATTTCAGCTGCATGAACCATTTCTTCTGTATAGAAATGCAAGCTGTGAGTATATCTGTTGTATTATAGTTTGTGTATTTACAATTAAAATTGAGTGACTTTAGTTTCTATCAGCACATTACTTTTGGAGTTTCAAGTTTCAATAAAAAATATGGTTTATACTCTTATGTTTGTATATGAGTCTCTTAGTAAGAGTAAACCTTCTAAATTGGACTTCTAAATTGAAACACTCTTTTGTATTCAATACCATATTACTTAACCATAGTATTCCATAGAATAGCATTACATTGTATTTCTGTTGTTCACTTTTTGAAAATGTTTCATTCTTTGTTTTTGTTGTGACATTGAATTATTGGCTGCCCGTGCCCCTGAGCAACAGAACTTAGTTTGAGAGACACAAGATGGAGACTGATACTGATATTTCCATCCACAAAGAAAGGACTGTCTTTGCCCTGATAGTGGTATTTTTCAATCTGTTTTATTTAGTTGAATGTCTATTGGGTACAGGCGCTGGGCCAAAAGTGGTTATACTTTTATGTTAATGACACAGTAACCTGTGGGGGGGTAGGCAGGCTCTTAAGTCAACTGAGACTCAGAGGTGAGTGGCAGCTACTCAGTTGGAAAGTGAGGATTATAACCCTTTTTTCTGATTCCTAGTCCAGGGTCCTTTTAGGCATTGTACAGACCCTCAGAATGGTTGCATGCAGTCAGCAAAGCTAGAGTGGCCCTTTCAAGAAGTAAAGTCTGCCCCGTATGCTTGGCTCCTGTATTTCAATATGGGTACTGAAGGTCTGAGTGCTGAGGACAGAAGACAGGCAGTCTGCCTGGCACTAGCTGTGGGGATATCAAAGGTGCTGATGGGGGTAGAGTGATTGTGCTGTGACTGCCGTCGAAGGAGAGTGCTGGAGAAACGTTGCTTCTCACTGAAAAAGGGAAAGTTACTGTGCTTGAATTTCACTTGACTAGGAGGTAACTAGTAGTGGAGCAATGTCTTCTATAAAATATCAAAAGCTGCTGGAAATTATGCGTTTTTACTTCCCTGAATAAGAAATTACAAGGTTTATTTTGAAGCTAGAACCCCCAAATTCTCCCCAGCTCGCTTTTAAGTGTCTGAGTGAAATAGAATCTCTCTCTTGACTTTTCGTTAAACTGTTTGTGCAGATAATTACCTCTCTGAGATTTTAATTTCTGTGGACATATTGGAAATGCTTTTAACACCTGTAAGTTCAAATGGATTTACTTAAACTAATGTCAACAGTAGAATTACTTCAGGTGGCTGTTTTCTTTGTGCTGAACATTCTCTTAGAGGAGAAATTCTGCAAAAGAACAGATCCAGTTTTGTTTTTTTTTTTTTTTAAGAGAAATTGGCTTAATTCTGCTGTTTACTACCTGGAGACTTAATCTCGCCATTGCTTCTAAGAAAACTTTGATTATTAAAGTTGTCAGTAGTGAAAGTTATCAGAGGCCCATGGACTTAATAACCATTTAGCATAAGCCTGAAATGAATCATGTTCTATTTCTTTCAGAAGTAAAGGTTCCTGTGAAGTTGAAGGTGCAACATAACACAAATATAATTAAACTGTGATTAACCGAAATTTAACTAATCAGAACCTCAATTATCTGGAAATATTTCTATAGTCCATGTGTGGAAGAAAAAAAAGCAAATTATAAGAAAACAAGCTTATGTTAGGTTTTATTTTGTGAAAATCTAGCAGATACCTCAAGTATAACCTGAGGTCAGCATAAAAATGTCAATATTCTATAACTTTAACGCCACTATAGTATCTTAGATTAATTTGTTGTAATGAGGCAATAAAACATTAGATCATCAGGAGTGTTTATTATATTAATTAGAATATTCTTGAACAGAAAAGTGCATTAATGCATTTTACTTCAGAAAGATTTTCAACAAGAGGTTGCAACAAAGATCTCCTTAGTTCAAAGAAAACTCACTTAACTAGGTTGTTCTGTTCCCTGCTTAATTGAGGATCATCTCCTATGGGCCATACAGTTTCTGATATTGCTAATTAGAAATCCGAGAGCACATAAGCTTGTTTTCAGACTAGAGAAAGGCCTGAAAAGGTCAAGTACAACACTGTGGCTGTATTAGAAACAGTCTAGAAGAGGAGCTTGGGGACAGGACAGTATTTAAAGGAATAGCTGTATCGTAGAGAAGTGACAAGACAGCATAAGGGGATTCTGGGAGTGTTAAGGCCTCTCTTGAGTGTATGTTTTGTCTAGCTAGTCTCAAAAGTGGAAAAATAGTCTTGTCAGGTTAGCAAGCTGTTGAGCTGTTTGGGGATTTGTTCTTTAAATAAAAAGTTAATTAGTGTCTGGTCATGTATACAGGTAATTATACCTGATTCTGTAGCTGCTCTTCTGTTGTTTTCTTGTGGGAAATACCACCGAGACACCTGACCCATTTTACTCAAGGTATACCTTCAGATCCAGCTTCTTTCACTCAAATCAATTTTTAGAGTTAATATAATAGAAAATTGAACTATAACTTTTTCCAGTTCTAAATTCTTGGTTTGGTTTTACTTTATTTTTTAGTTTTTCTTTATATAAAATACCCACCCCCTCCAAGCAAAAGGTAAAATCTTACAGAGAAAATGCTTACCAAGAGCTTAGGTTTGGTGATTCTCCTGAATCTTTCAGACGCAGTCTGTTTTTATAGTAGACTGTGCAAGTACCTTTTGGCAGCCACAAGACCCCAAATGTGCTCCAGTGGGGGTTGGGAGACTGCAGATTCTGTAGTTATTAAGCACAAGTGATGTTCCCAGAACCTTATTTTGATTCCTGATTTACAGATGAGAAAACCAGAGTCCCAAAGAAATTAAGAAGCTTCCTTAAGAGTCACAAATGTTGTAAGTGACAGAGGCAGAAGTCAAATCTAGGTCTGTTGAGCTTCAAACCAATGTTCTTTCTGTTCTTCTGCAACAGTTAAATTACCTACTTCAGCAGTCCACATACTAGAACAATGCTTTCCAATAGAACTCTGTGATGAGGGAAATGTTCTGTATCAGTATTGTCCCATTATAGCAGCTACCAACCAAATGTGACTGTTGAGCTCTTGCAATGTGGCTAGTGCAACCAAGGAAAAAGTTTTTTTCAGTCTGTTTCATTAATTAACAGATTTATTATAAATATAAATAATATAATTTAATATCAAATAAATTTACTTGTTTATTGTTAATTTGTTTAATCAGTTTGCGTTTAAATAGCCATATGATGCTAGTCGCTGCCGTATTGGACAACACAGACCTAAAGCATGATCAAACATACCCTTTTGTTGTGCCGTATCTGAATTTAATAAGCATATGGGGAGCTTTGGACTAGATTTTTATGTCTCCCACTTAGTCATTCCTTTTTAAAATTTAGAAATGATTTCTAGATACACAGGCTGCAGAAGATATCCCTGAGGGTAGCTTTGCCATGGTAACACCTTTGGTTTGGAATTTAGTTTGCAAACAAGAGTTCTATTCTAGGCTTTGCCATTCTACCGACTGTAACCTTGGATGAATGGTTTAAACCACTCATCTGACCCACTTGTCTTAAAAGGGCATCATGTATATGAAGCACATACAAATAGAAAATATTATAGACTGTGTCTCCATCTTGGACTCAAGCCAAATGATCTCTTTGGTGAAGGAGTCATAAGGACTTTAGTATTATCCAGATTCTCTTATAGCCCAGGCCACGATGTACCTCTTCCCATCCCTTCTGGCTAGCACCATGACAAGCTGGGGACTGTTTATTTTTACAAATCTTATTTTCAGACCTTGTTGGGGCGATTACTAGACAGCCTAAGGTATGATAAGTTGAAAATATATATATGTTAAAAATGAGAAATCTTAAAGGGTACAGATCTTTTAAAAGTCTCAACAGAAGCAATTCTGATTATTGGGTTATGGTGTTCATTTTTATCAGAATACTGGAACACATAGCACCTTCCTGGCTAAAACTTTATATTAGTGTAATGATGTTTTAATCTGTGGACACTTCTCCCTAAAAGGCATTGATGATAGTTTTAGTTTTATCTGTAATTAATTGGGAAAAACCTAGTTCTTTTGCTTTGTAAACATATGCCTTACTACCAATCTGCTGATCTTCTGTTTTCATTTGTAAACGGAATCCATTTTACTAAGTGGATTATAAAACCATTCTTTGGCGACTCTGAACTTCTAGCAGTTCTGTGGCATAGGCACATCAAAGAAAGTATCCTTCAGTCCAGTCTGGCAATCTCATGACAGAAAATCTTTCTGCTACAAACTTTTAGAAATGCTATATAAAATATTAAATGCATGGTTTAGCCAAAGGGAGTAGGGAACATCTCACTGGGCCAGCATCAAAGTGAAAACTGAAAGCTAAATGGGAAGCTTGTGAGCTGGCACTGGCTGCCAGCTATTATGGCGTTTTGGGGGATGGGGAGCTCTCCTTTATATAAGGACCCCATTATAATTACATGGGATCAGGAAACAAGATCTTGAGCCCTCAGGAAGTGGCGAGTTGGAGCTGAGACAGACGTACCAGCATCCAGCCGGGTCCTCTGATGTGCTACATATTAATAAATTAGAAAGATACTGATCCACCAACCTAGGGAGATGACAGGTAAGCTTATCTATCTCAATCTAGGCTATGAGTTAGAGGGAAAATGCTTCCCTTGAAAATTGTAACTATAAGTCTTCCGTCGTCATACAGATTTGGGATTCAAGTTACCCCATTCATTTAATATCATTTATTACCTGGGAAAAAAATTAACATAAAATTAATCCTCAGCTGGTGAGTACTCTAGGACACCTGGCAAAAGCAAATGCAAACCGTTCTGGAGGGATACATCCTTAACCCTGCTTGCCCAGGAATCTCGTTGATAAGCCTCATGGTCCAAAATCACAAAATATTAACAGGAAATAATTGAGCCAGTTGAAGGTAGGATGCAACAAACAGCAGGATTAGCCCACCCTTCCCAAAAACTTTAGTTAATGAAATGATCAGATAGAGACTTTAATGGATGTAAATATCAGATGTAGATTACAAAATAAAAT